AAAAAAAAAAAAAAAAAGATTTCATCAAAATTAAAAACTTTTTTCATTGAAAGGGTATCGTCAAAGAAAAAGAAAACACATTCCACAGAATGGGAGAAAATATTCACAAATCATGTATCTGATAAGGGGATTGGATTCAAAATATATAAAGAACTCGTGTTACAATTCAACAATAAAGAGACAACACAATTTAAAATTAGGAGAAGGATCTGAATAGACATTTCTTCAAAGAATATTTACAAATGGCCAATAATAACATGAAAAGATGCTCAGCATTATTAACCATTAGGGAAATGCAAATCAAAATCCAATGAGATATCACTTTGCACCTACTAGGATGGCTATAATCAGAAAGATGGCTGTGGAGAAATTGAAACTCTCATCTGTTGCTGGTGGGAATTTGAAATGGTAAATCTCTTTGGAAATTAGTTTGGGAGTTCCTTAAAAAGTTAAACATAGAGTTACCACATGACCCGCAGTTCCTCTCCTAGGTGTACACTGAAGGGAAGTGAATGCAAATGTCAGCACAAAAACTTGTACGTGAATGTTCATAGCAGCATTATTCATAATAGCCAAAAAGTGAAAGTGACTCGAATGTGCATCACCTGATGAACAGAGAAACAAGATGTAGTATATCTACACAATGGAATATTATTCAGCCATAAAAAATAATGAAGTGCTGACATACTACAACATAGATGAACCTTGAAAAAATGCTAAATGAAAGAAGCCAGACACAAAAAGACCACATAACGTATGGTTCCATTTGTATGAAATGTCCAGAATATACAAATCCAATAGAAATAGAAAATAGATTGATGGTTTCCAGGGGCTGAGGATTAGGGGGGAAATGGGGAGTGACTGCTAATGTGTATGAGGTTTCTTTTGGGAGTGATGAAAATGTTCTGGAATTAGTGGTGATGGGAGTTCCTCAAAAAGTTAAACTTAGAGTTACCGTATGACTCAGCAATTCTTCTGGGTCATATTGCACATCTGTGAATATACTAAAAATGACTAACTTGTACACCTTAAAAGGGTGAGCTTTATGGTATGTGAATTATATCTCAATAAAGCTGTTATTTTTAAAAAACTAAATTGGAATAAAAAGTAGTAATGGTGAACCTTTTCTCATTTGGGATGTGTAGCTTCGAGCAAATGCTCTCATCAAAAGAGGCAGCATGTACATGCAGCAGCAGCAGCCTCTGCTGTCCACTCAAGATTTTAACATGGCCGCCGACATCGACCCTCAGAACGCAGATGTGTATCACCACCGAGGACAGGTAAGTCTGTCTTACCCAGAGTTCTGACCTCGGATTGAGGAATTGGACGCCATTTTAGAGAATGTCTTCAAGTGTTCTTATATCCCTTCTGCTGGCTGTGAACAGAGTATCACAGTGGTTTACACCTTGGGTTGGCATTTATTTAGTCCCATCTGGAACATTTGTCCTTATAATTCTGGTATTATTAAAAAAAGAGAAATGGAAGGTACAAATATTGGCTTGCCAGTTCAAGCTTGTTTTTCAGGTGTTTCTGGTTTATAGGTTTTCAGTGAGTAAAACATTAAAAACATTTAGTGAGCGTTTTGAGTTAATGTTAGAATTAACAGAATGATTTTTGTGGGCTTCCTGCTGTAAAGAAATACTAGCTTGAACTATCCAAACAGTACCAAAAAAGTCACTTCTGAACAGAGTTTTATAACGTGCATGTTTGTTTTTTAGTAAAAATATATAGTGAAGAAAACAATTCCCAATTTCACCTCATCTGAGGAAAGCATGGCTTTATAATCTGCTTGTTTAACGTGGCTTCTTGGAATGCATTATGTTAGAAAGTGTGAGCTCTCCATATAATAACAGAAAAGCTAAATTTCTTTCGAATGGAGAATTTTACATAATATTTCTGTCTGAAGGGTCTTAAGAAGTGTTCAGATAACCTCTTAAATATTGACATTTTGATCCTTACTGATAGTATCTTAAGATAAATTTGAAAGGTAATTATCTGATGTCTGATCTTCTTTGAAACTTGAAAGTACAGAGATGTTTAGTTTTCTAGAAGAAGGGGGTTCTTGCTGGAGAGTCATCAAAACTTCAGTGTAAGAACGGTAGGTTTGTAGTGCTTTTTAAAAAATTGGGCACTAGTTTTAAGTTTTAGAATCTTTCCTTTAAAATTACAAGATTTGGGCCGGCCCCGTGGCTTAGCGGTTAAGTGCGTGCGCTCTGATGCTGGCGGCCCGGGTTCGGATCCCGGGCGCGCACAGACCCAGCGCTTCTCCCGCCATGCTGAGGCCAAGTCCCACATACAGCAACTGGAAGGATGTGCAACTATGACATACAACTATCTACTGGGGCTTTGGGGGAAAAAAATAAATAAATAAAATTATAAAAAAAAAATAAAAATAAAAAAATAAAATTACAAGATTTTCTAGTTCAGCATTTCTAGAAAGTAATTCTATATTGAATAATTACTACATGCTTAGCATTATGCTGAGCTATGACAAGAGACGCAGTGTGTACTTGACTGGTGCTCCGTTATTCTGAGTTGCGTTTATTTATGGTCTTTTTCCGTAGCTGAAAATACTGCTTGATCAAGTTGAAGAAGCAGTGGCAGATTTTGATGAATGTATTAGATTAAGACCTGAGTCTGCTCTGGCACAAGCTCAGAAATGTTTTGCATTGGTAGGTTCTGTTTTCTTTTGTGTTTTTCTAAACATCATTTTTATTTCCCATTGTTAACAAAAATGAGTATCATTGTCTACAAAATCATCTGTTTTTACCCTGCAGGATAACTACGGGGGAAAGCGTGTTAGGTTAGGGAAGTAGAACTGTTTGTCCTCGTTGAGGGGCTGCTCCTGTATTTACCGGGATGTTTTCTTTGAGTTCGTCTTGATGGGCGTTTGGCACTGATTGTATGCCCAGTGATCACCCTGCTTCTCTGCCATAAACCAGTCCAAAGGAAAAAAGCATTTTGAGCAGATATTCTGCTCTCTCATCTTAACTTTGTAGAGCTATTAGTAACACAAAGCTGAAAATCAGGTAAAATAAGTCCATTTCTAGTGAAATGAGGCACTTCCGGTTAGCCCGAGTCCTAAAATAAATTTTCTTTTATTAGAGAAATAAATTGGGTCACAAACACATGTATATTATAGACAAAAAATGTTATTAGATGAAGGAGCTTTATAACACTTTCAGTAAACTGATAATACATTATGTTAGATTTAAAATTCCCCCATTTATATGCAAGGTTAATTTCCTACAAGTTAGCATGCTCTCTTCTAGAGTACTGAACATCTTGAGGTTGTCAAGTGGCTGTGAAGGCCCAGTTGCACACAGCCTTCAGATCCTTGGAACCCTTTTAGATGCAGCAAATTACATTAGCAAATCATCTGCTTTTCTGGGAATATTTATGTAATTTTGTGTGACTTTTGTAATAGGTTAACATTCCATGAGTTTTTGAGTTCTTAATTTGATAGTCCTGTTTTGATTTTCAAACAGTATCGCCAGGCATATACAGGAAACAATTCTTCACAAATCCAAGCAGCGATGAAAGGTTTTGAAGAGGTCATAAAGAAATTTCCAAGGTGTGCTGAAGGCTATGCCCTGTATGCCCAGGTAAATGTAATTTTTTGTATTTTTTTCAGTTCTAGGGCTTTTTAAAAGAACTGCATGTGTCTGCTGAATCCCACTGTGGAAATCAGTGAACACTGCTTCTCTGTTGCAGCTTCTGTGAAAGCAGGTGGCTTTGTTCCCACTTTGATGCTCCTGGCCCCCAGGGTGGGCCTGAGTCACCTCAGGAGGGTCTTCTGTGTTATGCAATTTGAAAACCATGGCTCTGAACTCATAACTGGGGAAGCTCAAGCAGAGCGTTTCCCTCATGTTTCATCTGGATTGGGTTTGCAAAATTTAATTACCTTAGGAACATTTACTATATGCAGTTGGTGGGAAGAGTTTTCTGTCTATTTGATCACTGTCCTTTTAAATGGTTAGATAGGCTGTAAATAGCTCGTTTTAATTTCTCTATGATTTGTCTAAAATTCTTAAAGCTTACCTTGGTTTAGGATTGAAGCGATGGCGAGTATGATTTAAATTTGAATTATTTTCACTTTTTAATTATAGTCTGAAGTCTTTGAAAACTTGTTTATTAATTTTAAGTCATCCATTTAAGTGAAAATGTGTAGCTTCTTATAGCCACAGTTAGACTTCCTCCCCCAACTAAATGGTCTCTGACAATTTTCACTCTTAGTCTTTAAGTTGAAAGTTGCTTTTGATATCTACGTAAACCAGCCTTTTCAATACTCTATTTAATATCTTTTCTATCTTATTCTTTTTATTCTGAATAAATGTTGTCTCCCCAAACATCACAGAAATAGGAAACATTTGAAAATGACCATCTGTGGTAGACTCCTACCTCCAAACCATTCTTAAGGTTGTTTTGTTTTTAATTTCCTTCATGCTATCTTCAGTCAAGTTATAAGAAAAATTCCACAGGGTGAAACTTTTTAAGGGTTTATTGAGAGGGACTATGAGAAGATTGATTTGTGTTAGATCTGTTCTTTAAAAGTCCTGCACATCTTTGCATTTTTAGGGATTGAAATTCTGGGATATGAAGTACAACCCAGAAATTCTTTATCTCAGTTTGAAATAATCTTATCTCTTCACTCGTTGTTCTTACAATTCCTAGACAGGATGGTGATGATAAAAAATGAATAAATGATAAATGATAAAAAATGATAAATGATAAAAAAATGAAACGTTGATTCCTGACTGTGTACTCTAATTAACTGTGAAAGCATGTACTATATAAAATTTTATAGAATGTATAGAAGTTAAAATAGGGCAAACATATATTATAATTGTATGACATTTGTATTGAATAGGTACACTTGGGTTTATGCCTTATATTTAATTAAGACTAAACAAGAAGGTGGCAACACCATCCTCATCACTGAAGTGAAATTCAGAAGGGCTTTTTTGGTGCAGATTTTTATGAGCAGCTAAAAGAGAAAAGGCCACTGAATAGCTTTTAAAGAAACCAATACTAGGTACAAGTCTTTCCTAATTTCACATTTCCGTGTCACTGTGGTACCTTCAGAATAGGTTTGGGCTTCCTTGAGCTGTCTTCCTGTCAGCACGAGCATTGTTACAGTCTGTTGGCACTCATTCTGTCCTTTGATCCCTCTTCCAATTTCTGCTTCACTACATAGATAGACTGTTATGTATAATGTAACTTTTTGTTTATATACACACAAACACACACATATATTTTTATATAGTTACATAGTCTAACTTTTTTCTTTTAACTCTCAAGCTTGAGCTCAGATGCTGGCCAGTTCTCAAAGTTACAGTTTGAGCTGGTATCCACATAACCAAGGCTTCCATTTCTGCCATGGGTTTTGCCTTAAAATAGTTGATTGTAGCTGCCTTTTTTCTTTTATCAATCATTTTTAAGGAATGACTCTGATAATAGTTAACACACATACCTGAACTTATCCTTCCAAATGAGTATTTTCTCTAAAGTAAGACGTATTATGATAAATTATGAATAAGGGACATGGGTGTACTGTGAGAATCTGATATTGCAACTAGCACCGGGAATGGGATTTTCTGTACTCTACAGTTTACCAGATCATCTCCTGTTGCACATAACTAACCACTGGCCAAAAGGAGAGGACTCTTAAGATTTCATGTTTGTAACAATGCTCCGAAAAAAACCCAAGAAGTAAGTTTGTATCCTCACAGCATCATAATTTGGTAATGAATAGATAAATGGAGTAAATTTTAATAATTAATAAGCAATATACTTTTAACTGCTTAGGTTGACAGTTAGCTTAATATAACTGAAGTATCTCCTCACATAGGCATTAACAGATCAACAACAGTTTGGTAAAGCTGATGAAATGTATGATAAATGTATTGATTTGGAACCAGATAATGCCACAACATATGTTCATAAAGGGTATGTATTTTTGTGGTTCTTTTTGTTCCAGTAACAAATTAAATTTCTTGCATAGTAATAAGATGGATTTCTTTTGGTCACTGAGGAGAAGGAGACTGTGGTAGAGAGTATCAGTGAGTTAACTGACAAATTTCTTAATGCTGTGGATGCTTCACTGTTAATTTTTAAATTTTGCTTATGTTTCATTCTTTTTTGTGTGTGTGTGAGGAAGATCATTCCTGAGCTAACATCCGTGCTAATCCTCCTCTTTTTGCTGAGGAAGACCGGCTCTGAGCTAACATCTATTGCCAGTCCTCCTCCTTTTTTTTTTTTTCCCCAAAGCCCCAGTAGATAGTTGTATGTCATAGTTGCACGTCCTTCTAGTTGCTGTATGTAGAATGCGGCCTCAGCATGGCCGGAGAAGTGGTGCGTCGGTGCGCACCCGGGATCTGAACCCGGGCCGCCAGTTGTGGAGTGCGAGCACTTAACCGCTAAGCCACGGGGCTGGCCCTGTTTCATTCTTATACAGCAATTAGTAAATGTACTGTTTTCATTCTAGCTTAAGGATTTTGTGTCTGAACATCCTGTCAAATGTTAACTTGTATCAAACTAGGAAACACCTAAAATAAGTTTTTCCTGTCCTTGTGTACTTTATCATTAAAAAACTTTACTTAAATTTTTTTTACAAAGTAAAACATTAAGCTGTGCAGGGTAGGTTAGTAATGGAGCCTAGACCGTTGGACACTTTTTTCATAATAAGGAATTGAGACTACGAAAGCAATATAAATTGAGAAAAAAACAATTTGATGCTGATTATATACTGTTTTAGATTTTGTTTTTCCTTATAAATTAAGTTATAAATTCATTGAGGGGAGAAATTGAATCATGCACTTACATTCTGTTGATACCAGGCCATGGTCACATCTGACTGCCGTTCTGTGTTTGCAGTTTACTTCAACTTCAGTGGAAGCAAGATCTGGACAGAGGTTTGGAGCTTATCAGCAAGGCCATTGAAATTGACAATAAATGTGATTTTGCATATGAAACCATGGGAACTATTGAAGTGCAAAGGTAACTCTAGAGTCTTTTCTTAGGAAATATAAGGCAGCTCCATAAATATTTATCTTTTCACTCCTCTCATTAGACATATGTTTTTGTCAATATCCATTAAATTATTAAGTCTTAAGATGTTAGGCCTTTTGAGGCAAGCTTCCCTCAAAACTATACAGTTTTGATTTATATCGTTTCATTACTTTTCCAGCTTAGAAGTCATATTTAGAAAGGTAAGTCAAGCATATGCATTAGAAAGGGAAACTTGATCTTTCTCTAATACCTGTTGTGTGTTCTTTCTTCTTTTCTTCTTCTTATTTCTGTTGGAGGAAAAAAAACACCAGCAGTGTGCTTGGGCAGTGCAGTGTAGCACAGGATTGGTAGCCAGGTTGCCAGAAGATCTAGGTCCTACTGCAGAGAAGCAACCAGCCAAGTCACTGGACAAGTTGCAACATCATCTCTGAGTCCCTGAGTTTTCTTTAAAATGAGGGAGTTGGTTAAGATTTTTTGCAACTCTGACTTCCCGTAACTTCTTGTTTTGTGTAAGTCTTTATTCAGAGTTGCACTTGCGATTCACCATTACCAGGTGACAACTGTTCATGCCATAGAATTTAGTGTAGTATATCATCTTAATACTGGTATTGCCATCCATGTGAGTACCTGCTCTGTGCCAGGTACTGAACTTCAGGTGTTTTCCAAATATTATTTCAATTGATCTTTACCCCAGTCCTTATAAAGGTAGAGATTGTATGATCCTCAATTTAACTGAAGAGTGTAGGAACTAATGCCTAGACTGGTTAAGATAGCAAGGTTACATGGTGAGCCAGTAGTAGAAACAGGATATGAGCCCATATTCCACTGATGCCACAGCAGCTGATCTTGCCATATCACTTGTCAGGAACAAGTAGCAGTTAGTTGTTTCACTTACCCATCATTCAGCCTCTCCTGGGGTCTTCTTTCTGCTCCAGCATAGGCAAAATATATATAGATGATGAAAATCTTTGTAGTTCTTTGGAATCATTCTATACCAACAGTTGCATGTAAATGTTAAATTATTTCTTAATTGCCAGTTCGTTAATGTGAATAAAATATTCTCATACTAGGATAGGATGAGGTAGTGGTTCTTAATCTCTTGAGCAAAGCTGTGGGTTTATCTTAGAGTAATGCACATACAAAAAGACTGCATTTAAGTTGTTCATAGAGCCTGGGTTAAGGACTTCTGATTTATGGGGTTTGATGGATTTTGTTGGTGTGTTAATTGTACTTCAAGAAATCCATTCTAAATCCTGCCTTACAAAGAAATGAGTCTGAATGAATGAATGAAATGGCTAATTATCCTAGGATTTAGCAAATCCTCTACCTAATATCTGAATATGAACTCTTGAAAGAAGTTTTTTTTTTTTTTTAAATAAGTCTATCATGTAGCCATGTATTATAGTAGGAGATTAAATACACCCCAGAGGTACATCATACTTAGAGTCTAACGGGCATATATATAGTACAGACTTATATTGAAAGATTACATGCATGTATGCATATATACATAGCTAATACCAGTTACTTACAACAGTTCTTGGTTCTTGGCAGGTATGTAAAGCCTAACCATACTTAGACTGTAAGAGGTAAATTATATGTTTTTGACCAAACATATTCATTCATTTATTCAAAAAACAGATACTAATTATCAGGCATTGTACTAGGAATTGAGGTCCTAGGAATTGAGAGGTGTCCTTAATTAAGTATCTAGTAAGACTATGGTGTAAACAAATACATATTCATCTAACTATACATGGAATGTCAGTAGAACTACGCGAACACTGGGGAAAGTGCAGTCAATTCCCCTGGAGAGGGAAGGGGAAAATATTTTTTGTGAGGATATTGTGTGTGAACTGGGCCTTAGAAAGGTGAGGATTTGACTCGAATCAGGCAGAGAGGCAGTAAATCGTCTGAGCACTGTGTACAGGGATGAGCATGTGGCACAGAGAACTTGGGGAGACCTGCGGGACTGGGTGGAGGTGCATGGGGTGGGAGACACTGGGAAGAGAGGAGGCGGAAAGAAGGTGGGCTCACGTGATCTGTGCAGGGAAGGCCCCCGAATATGCAGATGTTCTGAGTCTAGGTCACTGCTTTCTGAAGGAGCTCGTGATGCAATAGACCACGCAGGATGTAGGAACCAGACAGGATTATGATTTTAAATAAGTCATTTAATTTCTCTGGTCTCACTGTTCTTACCCGTAAACAGAGACGAGAAGAGGTATAGTGTGAGCACGTAGTATTTGTAATTGTAGCTGACGTTCACTGAGTGCTTTCTATGCGCTAGGCATTGTTTTGTTTGTTATAAAGAAGCCTTTTGTTAGAATCATAGTTGAAACTTAGTGGTCACACTCCACGGAGCATCAATTAGAAACTTCATTGCATTCCATGAAGTGCTTGTTGAATCTGAGACGTTTAAAATTTTTGTTCTTTTAGAGGAAACATGGAGAAAGCCATTGACATGTTCAACAAAGCTATTAACCTGGCCAAATCGGAGATGGAGATGGCTCATCTGTACTCACTCTGTGATGCCGCCCATGCCCAGACAGAAGTTGCAAAGAAATACGGATTAAAACCACCAACATTGTAAAACAGGGGGAAGGAAAATGACCCTCTTTTTAGGAGAAGTTTACCCCTCTTCAACTGACCCTTAAGGACACTGTCATGAACTGTGGTGACCGGTGGAACTTCGTATTTCTGTGTGTGCTGTTGTGCGTCACGTCTGTGTCACGGTAGCTGTCGAAGGGGGTCTGCTGTGTCGCAGCCTCTGTTCCCTGTGCAACAAAAGCTTAGAATCTGTTAAAGGGATAGCAAAACAAAGCTGCAGGGTACACGTGATAATTGGCCATGCAAATAAAAACTCTGATTTGTTGATTTGGCTTTTTTTTTTTTTTTTTTGAGGGGGATGGGGGGATGATTATGTTCTGAATGATTTTTGTCTTTGTGTGTGTGGGGTTGTAATAAGAGTATTTTTACAGCATGTTGGTTTTTAAATTAACAAGTGCTGTAAAATAGGTTTTCTCTAGATTCAATTAATGCCTTTTAGTTGATTTTTTTTTTTTTGAAGGAAACAAAGCTTAAATGGGGATTTTGTTTTTAAGGCAGCAAAATTGAGAGCCCCTTGAAACCACTGTCAGCATGCACAATGTCTCTGATTCTGCAGAAGGTTAGAAAGACTCAGTGACAACTGCTAAGCCTTTTGACCCTCTTCAACTCGAAAGGATATTGTATATCATGCTTGAAGTCCACAACAGCTGGTTTTCATACAGTAAATTATGCAGAAGGGCGATATTCTGATTGATATGCATGCTGGGAGACTGAGTATTCATGGGAGAGTGGACCAGGCACGAGGTAAGATGAAATGGAAATGTGTTTGTAATTGCTCGTGGCTATTTTCTGTAATAGGTACTACTATTTAATAGCGTACTTTTTAAAGAAAATGCAGGTTGGTTGTGTGTGTAAAGATGGAGTAAGTGTGATGTAGGAATATTTAATTAGCTTAAAATTTCTAGTGAATGGGCCAGCCCCGTGGCTTAGCGGTTAAGCGCGTGCGCTCCGCTGCTGGCGGCCCGGGTTCGGATCCCGGGTGCGCACCGACGCACTGCTTCTCCGGCCATGCTGAGGCCGCGTCCCACATACAGCAACTAGAAGGATGTGCAGCTATGACATACAACTATCTACTGGGGCTTTGGGGGGAAAATAAATAAATTAAAAAAAAAAAAATTTCTAGTGAAGAAAATGTGGCTAGAGGTTCACAAGGGATGTGGTAGGTCTGGGAACCAGAAGCACAGCACTTGCTGGGCTGACAAGGGTGGTGTGCTTCAGGCCCGTGCTTGGGGGCTCTGAGCCGGGGGCTTCGCAACGGCTGAGGGCTGTGCGGGGCTTCTCGGTGGTTTGCTGTCCTTGGTCTCCACGGCTGCCGACCGCCTGTGTCCAGGTCTTCACTAGGGCTCCTGTCAGCAGATTTTTGTTTTGTTTTGTTCGTTTTATATTTACCTCACCATCTTACTTAGAAATCGCTTTATGGCTTTTTTCCAATTTTCACTTTTCTAGACCATCATTTGCTTATATGCTGGATTCTTCTGGTGGGGGAGAGGTTGTGTTCTTAAGGAGCATTTTGTTTTGTGATATTCGGGGTTGGGAGAGGTTTATTTAACTGTGAAAGAAAAGTCCACACTTTTCTGGAAATGAAATCTAATTCGAGTTTACATTGTTGGGAGTAAAGGAGCATTTTACCCCTCTTTAAAAGGGTGCTTTATCCTATTGAAACAAAAAAGATTTTGTCTACAAATGCTGTCTTTTTAGAAACTATTAGAAATGATTCCTTTTCAAAGTCAGAGTCTGGAAAATATTGAGGGGGCCTCTAACGAATTACTGGAGGCAGTTAACATAATTGGAGATGACGTGGATAATGGAAAGTTTGAGAGCTCTGCATTTTACTTCTTAAATTATGCACCTACTATGATAACCCCTGGATACAGAAATGTTCCAAATCGTGGAATAACCTCTGACTTAAGAAGTTTTTATGTGCATGGCTGTATTTACATGAACACTGATATTTTCTTCTACCCTTCTCCCTTCCTACCCCTTGGGGTTGGGTAGGAAAACACACAAAGGAAGCAGAAGCATGTGCCAGTCGATACTGTCATTCCAAACCCTTGTGGACTGTCGCCTGTTCTGAGAAACATTTGAAACTGCACTGAGAGCTGCATCTGTCTGTATCTTTACTTTTGTAAATGACTTCACATGTAAATTCACCAAATAAATATTACATTCAAGCTTTTCTATCTATTCTTTAAATAGAGAAGGAGGTAGTTTATTCATTTATTGTAGTACTGGGTAAAGTCATAATCATTCTCTCGTGGGCTCAAACCAACTTTGAAAATAGAGACATACTGGACACGTTAGTATATGAAGCAAAGTAAGTTTTCAGTGTGAATGGTGGAGTTTCCTGAGGGCATTCGTTCTTCCTACTGCTGAGCAAAGCTCTAAGAAGAGAGGTGGGGCAGCTCAGTCCATCCCTGCATCTGCCCACCCTCACACTTGCAGGCAGCCTGGACGGGGCCAGTCACACCTGAGCCCTGGGACTATGTTTATCCTCAAACTGGCTTCACCAATGAGTTCTGATCACTTTTCAACCACTTGGTAGTCTTTTAGAAAGGTTGCCTGACTTAATCTACTGTTGAGTGATTGTGGTATAAATAGGGAATAGATCCCAAAATACTAAGAAGCTTTGGTTTTAAAACAAATTAGATAGACCTTTCTGCCCTTTGGAGACTCACATTCCAGTTTATATAGTGCTGTGTCCCAGCCGAGCTCATCTAATTGTCATCTTCTTAAGGCTGTTTATAAACAGGAAGACCATATAACTTAACCAAACGAGGAAATTTTTGAGTATAAAAGTCATAATTACTCAAGACTGTCCTGTAAATTGGGTTGTATGGTCTTTGTATTTATAAGGAAATAACATAGGAGTCGTGGGGGGGGGGGGCTGGTAATAATTAATTAATCCTAAGCTCAGTCCTCTGCAAAACTGATTTGGGAACAAAGTGACAGAATTTTAACTTGATGTATTTGCAAGCCTTAATACACTGTGATAGAATGAATAATGGTCCCCCAAAAGATATCCACATCTTGATCTCTGGAACCTGTGGATGTTACCATATGGCAAAAATGGACTTTGCAGATGTGATTCAGTTAAGGATCTTGAGATGGGAAAATTATCCTGCATTATCTGGTGGGCCCCAAATGTAATCCCAAGTGTCTTTGTAAGACGGAGAATTCAGACAGAAGAGGAGAGGACAGTGTGACCACAGATAGAGACTGGAGTGATGTGGCCACAAGCCAAGGAATGCTGGCAGTCACCAGAAACTGGAAAGGCAAGAAGCAGATTCTGCCCAGGAGCAGAGCTCGGCCCTGTGGACACCTTGATTTCAGCCAGCGAAACTGATGTCGGACTTTTGGCCTCCAGAACCATAAGAGAATGAGATTCTGTTGTTTTTAGGCACTAAATTTTTGACAGTTTGTCACAGCAGCCATAGGAAACAATGCACACTCCTTTGGCTATTGTGTACAAGGTGGCTTATAGTTTAAAGCAATTCTTCTGAGTATCTCAAAGTACAGCATGACTTCATGTGCACTTAAATTTTGGCCACAGGTGGTTTAGGCCGTGAATGTACACTGTGGGCACAGAATGGAGGTTCTAGTCAAGAGCTGGGGCATTTGTGACGTAAATTAGATGTGATCATGGTAGTGTAATCACCAGGCCAAAAAGCTGCTCTTCAGGTATGAGGTAACAGGTGAGACACCTCTGATACCTAGAAGAAATAGCAAAGGAAGACACCATTTCCAAATGTTTTGAAACTCTTAAAATTAGGCAATATGAAAATAACTGCAGTCTGGTTTAAGGGGAGAGTGCACAAATTCTCCTGGGCGCTGAGAGCTCGGACTCTGACCCTTCCAGATGGTCTTCAGGGGCTGGAGGGTTTAAGAGCCTGCGGATCCCTAGGACAGGAGTGGTGGTGGTGCCGGGCCCCAACCAAAGGAGGAGAGGAAGTTGGAGGTGGGGACAGGCCAAGGGCCAACACGACTGCTGCCTTTCAGAGCTCAGGACACGTGGCTCTGTTGCTCCCGGTCTTCTGCTGGCACTGGAGGATAATGTGACTGTGCAGGTGTCCTAGAGGCCATGGGAGGGCTTGGCAGGTAGGGTTCTCGAGCAAATATAGAGAGGAAGACCACGACTAAAACTGACTCCTGGGCATCCTTTTGGCGAGTGAAAAGTTTAAAGCAAAGGGGACAAGTAGAGCAGGGGGGATTCTCTGCAGAGATGGCCCATGGTCTAAATCATCAGTGAACTGCTGTATTAAACCACCTTTACCCAATGTTATTTCTCAGAATATCTGCTTCACCTCAAGAACTGTGAAGAGTCTAAAAGTACCTTTTTTGCAAACTACAGTTTCATGAACACTGGTGAAGACATGAGATCCGGGCTCAGCGACAGTGGACTTAGTGACCTGGAGTGCAGCAGGCAGCATGAGCTCCACGTTCGCTTTGCTTCCTTGCGCCCAGGTCCCGGAGGAGGAGGAGACCTGGAGTAATCTAGGTGGATGCTGCAGACATAGAGGGGGTCTGTGTCACAGCTGAGGACGCTGAGCTTAGGAAACCCAAGCTCATGGATTTGGCTAAGCTAATGGGCTGGCTGCAAACAAACCTGCCTTTTACATCAGAGGGAAGCATTTTTATTATACTGGATATTAGAGAAACCTGTCCTATGCTCCAGAAAGAGACAGTCTCTGTCTGCTAAAGCAGTTGACTAGACAAACATCTTTGAAAGGATAGTCTGGAAGAAAAGCTGTGGATGCCTCTGTTCACAAGACATGCAGAAACTTCAGAGACCCATGAAGAATTGACTACACATCTCTGTATGTTCTTACCTTTTATTAATTCACCTCAAGCTTAATCTTCCACCAGTTTAGAGGATTACAGTGTCTATTTTAGACAACACCATGGTGCAGGGAAAAGTATTACTGGCCTGAGCATCAGGTGACCTTAGTTCTGCCTAACACTGCTTTCACCGGCTGCGTGATCTCAAGTAAATGAATAAATTACAGGGAGCTACACCATGTCCCAGATCTTCCCAGATCAGAATCCCTCAGGGTAAGGGAATCATTCCAGAATATATGCAAGTTATTTAGCCAGAAAATTTGCACCTGTACAAGTGCCATCTGTAGTGGTGACTTCACTCCAGCTCGGCACTCAGCACCCAGCAGGGTGAGGATTCAAAGATAACATCAAAGCCTGAAAGAGCTCCCAAACTAGGATGACAGTTTTGGTGCATAAAGTTATGTATAATGTGTATGGAACACATGAGAGTAATAAATTCTGCTGGGACTTGAGGGATAAATAGGATTTAGGTAAGGAGCTTTCTAGAAGATGGAGAAACCACCAAAATTTAAAAAAAATTGAGAGGGGACATTGTGAGTCTGAGCTGAAAATAAACCATCCAACTTCAAGTCCAGCAAGATGAAGTTGTTTTTTTAAAAACTGGTGAGGAGACACCAATAGTGGAACTACATGCTTGAGAATTATCAGCATATAGTTAGGACCATGCATGAACTATGAAATTATTTCGGGACGAAATTAAAATAAAAGGGCAAACAATAAAACTCTGGCAAACATCAACATCTAAGGGACAAAGGTGGCAATGAAAACGTGGTCAGAGAGCCAGTAAGAGCAAGGTCACATCAACGGTGTTAGGTTTCAGAGGTCAAATGGGCAGGGCTGCAAATAGATGATTCGTGATCTTTGCCAGAGAAGTGTCGCTGGAATGGCGAGGGCAGAATCTGGTTGCAGGGAGCTGAAAAATCACTGAGACAAGAATCAAATAGGGAGCAGAAATGACTCCTTTAAGAAATTGCGTGAAAATAATGCGAGTTTTTTACCGGATGGCATGGTTTTTGTTTTGAGGGAGAAACTTGGAGAATGAATCCACAGACACAATAGTATTAAGAATGGCTGAGCACAAAGGAATACATTTGTAGGGTTTAAAATATTTCGGGAAGACTAGGATCACAACATAGACTATTACTGCCCCTTACCCACCATGCTCCAGTCTTCAGATTCTTGTTCATTTGGTAAATTACGAACCGGCTATGAAGAAATCATTGAACAAGTAGCGTCCTCGTATGTATGTGTTTTAGTTATTTGTAGATCTGGGGCTTAACTTTTGCATTCCTTATTTTAAGAAGATCATTTTATCCTAAAGGGCATTCTCTTCCAACAACTAGCTTTTACTTATCCTCCGATCTTCATTCAAGAAGAAATAGAGCTGGGGCCGGCCCAGTGGCGCAAGCGGTTAAGTGTGCGCACTCCGCTGTGGCGGCCCGGGGTTCGCTGGTTTGGATCCCGGGCGTGCACCGACGCACCATTTGGCAAGCCACACTGTGGCGGTGTCCCATATAAAGTGGAGGAAGATGGGCACAGATGTTAGCCCAGGGCCAGTCTTCCTCAGCAAAAAGAGGAGGATTGGCAGATGTTAGCTCAGGGCTGATCTCCTCACAAAAAAAAAAAAAGAAGAAATAGAGCTGAATGAAGATGATAATTTAACAAGAAATCTGAAACTGCAACACAGAAGTTCTTTCTCAGGCATGAAGGAGAAGCGCCCATGTTGAGCTGGCCGCACTGGCAATATGTCTGGTCAGTGTAGACACCACAGAACACACATCTTTTCCCTTCCCATCCCCTGCCTCCTCAAACCCGCTCACCACCAAGACCTGCCACGCAGTGCTGAAGGGGGACATAGAGACTTAGAACTGGTGCCGGTAGAGCAGAACATCCATCCCGAAACCTAAACCTTGGTTTCCTCAACCCTTTTGCACTTGGTATACTTTGTACACACCTAACTTTTGGTGGCAGCAAGGAATCCTTCCCTAAATACCGGCTTGATGTCATACGCTGACTACTAGTTACTCATTTTAGATCCTGTAATGTTAGTAATTTATTCATTTGTAACCAAGGCAACACCCACTTTCTGTTAGCTCTCAACTTCAAACAGCTAGGTCAGAGTTGGAGTGGCACTTTCATGACTGAATGCACATCCTGACTTAGGTCAACACAGGTTACCGTCCTGCTAAGGGAGTCGCTTCAATGAGCCCTTATCTAAACTGCAGGTGACAGGTGTCCAACATGTGACAGCCGACTTCAAAGTATCATGCAAAGAGCATCACTTCCTACTCACTAGGGGGAGACAGCTGACCACAACCTTTTCCTGGCCGTAGACTGCAGTGTTCTCCCACTTCAAGAGGACCAAACCCATGGTTCATTCTGATCAGATATCCTTTTCTTAAAGGTGAAATCAGAGGCCACGTGACCACATACTTTATAAAACGTTACTCACTAATGTGAGACGCCTACTTCCTTCATTCCCTTTCAGTCTTTGAATGCACCACAAGGCAAGCTCACTTGACACAGCGCCAAAAGACAAGAAGAGACATGCATTTAATGAAATACAAAAGCAAGTCTGAGCATCCTTCTGCCCTTCCTGTTGTAGGGATGCTAGACAAAGGTAAAGTGTCTTTCCTTCAATAGCTTCCACTGGATACCTAGGACGGCTGGTCCATGGTCTCCAACTGTCCTGAGCCACTCTCGGGAGGAAATGCCTTAAGGTGTTCTTTGGGGACTAAGGGAATCAAGGGGGAGGGCTCTGAAGCTCCCACATTCACATCAACCACATCATTCTTCCATCATTCTTTTAGGTACAGGATTTACCAGAAGATTCTCTATTTAAAAAAAAATGGTTTCACGCTAAAATTATTAAGTTGAAATATTTGTCTGTGGGCCTGCTAGGATAGAGAGCAGTGTTTCTCAGCATGCAAGCCAAGGTTATCTGAAAGTTCCTCACATACTTGAAAAGGATCTGTGAGGCTGAAAATATTTTTATAACATTAAGAAATTATTTGGGAACTTCCACTTTGGGCCAAGATGGACTTACAGGGATAAGGTTTACTCTCCCACCTAAAACAACTAAGAAAAAGCCATGTTATGAAACAGCAGTTTTCAGACATTGGACACCAGGACAGTGATGCCAAGAGAAGGTGAACAGAAGAGGTGAGCCCTACAGCTGCCCCAGCTGCCTGAGTTTCCAGTCTGCAGCACAGCGGGGGGGAACACAGGTGGAGCTCAACAGTCTCCCTGAGTGGAGGAGGCAGAGTTGGAAGCCTGGGAGGCAAAGATGGCTCGAGTTCACAGGGCAGAGGTATCAGAAAGGAGAGAGCTGCACAGAGAGCTCAGGAGATGTACAGAGGGCCCTGCTCAAGGCTGCAGCTGAGTACTGACCAGCACACCAGTATATGACGAAACGGTCAGAAGCAGGGGCAGGAACCACTTGAAAGAACAAAGAGGAACAGTCCTTGGAGCTCACACAGGACTGGAGAGGGTTCATGTTCCCACCAGCCAGAACAGAGAGTCTCCTAATTCACAGGGGACTGGGTAGAGCACTCAGAATACTGCCTCAGGGGCCGGCCCGGTGGCGTAGCGGGTTGAGTTCGTGTGCTCCGCTCCGGTGGCCTGGGGTTTGCAGGTTCGGATCCCAGGTGTGGACCTATGCACTGCTTATCAAGCCATGCTGTGGCAGGTGTCCCACATATAAAGTGGAGGAAGATGGGCATGGATGCTACCTCAGGGCCAATGTTCCTCAGCAAAAAGAGGAGGATTTGCAATGGATGTTAGCTCAGGGCTAATCTTCCTCACCAAAAAAAAAAGAATACTGCCTCAGCAGCAGGACAGAATTAGCCCTGCACTAAAGAGGTGCTCAGGTCTCATGTAATAAAGCTTCAAAGCCTCAAAAAGAACAAACCATTTCCAAGTAACTTAACTGCATCCCAGAACAAAGCTCAAAGCTGCTAGAATAGGTGAATTGAGCAAGGCTGCAGGATGAAAGATCAAATGCAGAAATGAATCATATTTTATATACTAGCAATGAAAAATTGGAAACTGAAGTTTACAAAACAATACTACAGCATCAAAAAATCTGTAGTCCTTAGGCATAAACTGCACAAAAGATATGCATTATCTTTACACTGAAACTAACAAACATTGCTGAGAACTTAAGGAAGGCGTAAATAACTGAGGAGAATCTCATTCACGGGTCAGAGGTTCAATATTGTTAAGACATCAGTTTTCCACCAAACTGCTCTATAGATTCAATGCAGTCCCAATCAAAATCCCAACAGGCTTTTTTTCTGTAGAAATTTACAACGTGATTCTGAAATCCGTATGGAAATACCAAGGACACAGAATAGTCAAAACGATATTGAAAAAAGAGCTGGAGGATTAATACTACCTGACTTCAAGACTTATTATAAAGGTACAGTAATCAACACAGTAAGTTACTGGTGTAAAGACAGACAAACAGATCAATGAAATAGAAGAGAGAGTCCAGAAATAGATCCATATATATGGCCAATTCATTTTTAATAAAGGTGCCAAAGGCAATTCAGTGGCAGTAGGATAATCTGTTCAACAAGCGGTGCTGCAACAACTGGACAGCCACAGGCAAGAAAAAGAACCTTGACTCTTACACCATAAACAAAAAATTAACCATTCAAAATGGGTCACAGACCTAAGTAAAAGAGATAAAACTATAAAACTTCCACTGAAACATAGAGTATGTTCCAAAAGAAAACTTTAGGATAAAGTCAGTGACTTTGGGTTTGGCAATTTCTTAAATAGAACATAAAAAAGACGAACTTCCAAAAAAAAAAAAAGCAATTAATTGGCCATCATGAAAATAACTTTTGGTCTTTAAACAATACTTTTAATAAAATGAAAAGACATTTTTTTCTCAGACCTGGAGAATATATCTGCAAAACATAATACCTAACAAAAGACCTTTATCTAGAGTATATAAAGAACTCTTATTAATCAATAAGAGAATAACCCCATAAAATTTGGGGAAAAGATAGGGAGACACTTCACCACAGAAGATATACAGATAGCAAAGCACATGAAAAGATGCACAGCGTCATTAGCCATTAGGAAAATACAATTAAAGCCATAATGAAATAACATTACATGCACATTAAAATGGCTAAAATTAAAAAGACTCATCATACCAAGTGTTGGTGAGGATGTGGAGCAACTGGGACTCTGATAGACAGCTGGTAGCTAAGTGAAACGGCACAAGCACTTTGGAAAACAGCTTGGCAGTGAAATAAACATATGACCCCACCATTCTCCTCCCAGATACTGACTCAAGAGAAACGAACAACTTGTACAAAATGTTTCTAGCAGCTTTATTTGTAATAGCCCCAGACTGGAAACAACTCAAATGTCTATCAACAGGTGAGTGGGTACATTATGGTATATCGATACAATGGACTATTACTCAGCAAAAAAAAAAGGAATGAATTACTGATGCACGCACTTGGATGAATCTCCAAATTAATTATGAGTGAAAGACTGACAAAAAAGTATACATATGGTATGATTCCATTTTTAGGTAATTCTAGAAAATTCAAACTGATCTATACTGACAAAGCTGACTAGTGATTGCCTAGGCACGAGAGGAGTAGCTAGAGGGATTATAAAACAGCACAGGGAAATTTTAGGGGGTGGTGGGTACGTTCATTATCTAGATTGGAGTGGGTTCATGGATGTATACCTGTGTCAAACTTTACCAAATTGTACACTTAATTTTAAAAAGTCATTTGCCTTTTTCACTTTTGTACTCTTCTGAGTATGTGGTGCTGTTTTCCAAAGGTTAAGTGACACAAGATGATGTCATCATTCTTACAGCTAATGCAATGTGTGCTCATGTATTCTTTTGTTTTAAAATTTCCTGTTTTATTTTCCAATATGGTAAACATCTCTATCTATGTAACAGTGATGTGTTAGAGCAGGACTGCAACAGCTCACAGGAGCCAACTGTGCGCACCCCAGGTCCGTGCTTAGAGGTATCACATTGATAGCTTGAACCTGGCCATGGTCTAAGCAGTTACACCATGGAAACTGGCAAACACTACTACAAAATCGGGGTTTTTCTCAGACAGCTGGTTGTTCAACACTTACCAGCCCAACACTAGCTACAACATAAACAAAAGCTCACTAGAACTCTTAATTTTTAATTGTGCAAAAGGATTCTGAGAACTGCTAGGCTAAAAACTTCTGTTTATCAAGCTAGAAAGTGTTACTAGGGAGAAAAACAAAAAGCGATTTCAGGAGGAGAGAGAGCCTAGGACTTGCTGTTTGTGGACTTGGGGGCAGAGCTGAAGATCAAGGGCAGCTGCAGGATGGGAGCTGGTCTCAGGGAGGAGCAGAGGAGAGGTTAACACTGGAATCACTAATACCGCAGATTTGATGAGCACTTGACCTTCCTTTTTGCAACTGTGTACCCAAGAACTGCATGATGTAGAAAGAGCAGGGATCAATTCTATTTTATGGACAGGAATTGGACGTTCAGAGTTAATCATCTCTGTCTCCCAATTCTGGGGCTGGCACTCATTTTTTCAGGACTGGGGTGTGGCACCGAGGTTAGGAGCAGAGGAGGTTTGGTTGTCTCGAATTGGAGTGGACAAAGTATGTCCCAAATCATTTTCTGCTGACACATTAGAGTTGGTTCCCTTTTTCTTTTTAATGTCAGAGGAGTTGCATGTGTGTGGCCCCCTCACTTCCCTAGGGATGAGCGGTGGGCTTTCAATCTTGGGGTGCTTCGTACAAGCCTGAGTCAGAGTGAGCTGTGCCCTTTGGGCAGTGACAGGGAGGGCAGGGCGGGACTCAGTGTCTGGGACTGTGGACCATTTTATGTCTTCACCATGCCTGGTCAATTCTGCATCCCTCCTTCCATCGTGTCCTCTCTCAGGTGGCATGTGCCTTGTGTGAAATGCTGTCAGGGTTCTTGTGCCAGGAGGCCGTCCAAGAACTCTTCCCCCAGCTGTTGCTGGCTGTGCTGTGTCATCTCTGCTAGGTGACTGAGCAAACTGTTCCCCCAAAGATGGTAGTCTACAGCAAAGACGGGGGCCCGGGCGGCAAGAGCAAGCCCTTTGACCCCACTAGTTGTGTGCCATGGAGGTAGTGAAGTTGGTGCTGTTGTCAGCTGCATATGATGGAGTGGTGGTCTGTGCAAATCAGCATCGCTGCTGGGACCTCCTGTCCTGCCCCAGATTTCACTACACAGGGATCACTGACCACACAAGCGGCATCGTGAAGAACTGTGAACCCGCCCAATCTGCAGCAAACCCTGAACCTTGTCTGGAACCTCCTCTACAGCTTCGATGATCGTCGGAAGATCCTGGCCAGGACGTTCTACGCGCAGCTCCTCTGGCACCGATCAGTGGCTGAGACTCTGGGGCAAGACTTTCTGGACAATCTAATGAAGTGGATCAGGGAGCCCAACCTCATCATGAAGGAAACTGGGCTCTGAGGAATCAGTACCCTGGCACTGCACCCAGGACAAAGAGTCTCTGAAGAGCCTGGTTCCATTACTGCAAGACTTCCTGAAGAAGGAGGTGCGAGCAACAGTGAGGCAGTGAAGTGCCTGAGGAACATCACCTGCCATGGGCAGGGAGAGGACATCAAGGTTGTCTTTTGCAGCCTCTCCAAGTAACTGTGTCCGCTCATCAACGATGAGAGGGACCAGCTGAGGATCTCAGCCACCTCTGCCCTGGACCACATGCTACATCGAGTTCACACATTCAAGCCTGGATCCTCCCTCCGAAAAGAGATCCACACTGTTCTAGTCTCGCTGCTGCCCAGCATTCAGGACAACAAGGAGGCAGTCAAGACCTGTGGAGGGCCCTGACCGAGGGGGCTAATGTGATTGGCTGGTCATCACTCACAGACATTCCGACTTACCACCCTCAGCCATCACATCCTGGTGTTGGAAGAAACATGCAAGTACCTGGTGGGCACAAGCCAAAAACAGTTCAGAGGGGAGTTACTGTCCCAGAGCTTTGGCTTCCTGAGAGTCCTCCGCCTTTCCTAAGGGCAGCCGCAGTAAATTTCATAGGATTAACAGCTGAGAGGATAAGCACGCATCACATACAAGAGGATGATGTGCAGCTGCTATGCTACGGAATGCTCTTGGAAGTCGGAGGAATGATCCTGTGGAAGACGCCCAGTCTTGGGTCAATACTGTCCTGAAAAAAACTGATGAATATGTTAAACCCGGGTCTGTCTTTACTTCCAGGATGAGCTGGCTGAGCAGTAGCTTCTTCAAAGTCTCTGGCATAAAAGCCCCAGAAAGAAAGCAGCGACTGTTTAAGATTGTCAGATAGGAAAGAGATGATGATGACAGTCAGAAAAAGAGAATCTGGAATTGGCTCCAAGACCCTCTAACTTCACTGTGCAACTGGCACAACAGGAGGGTGAAAAATGCCCACTTATCATAGATAGCGATTGAATGAATTAGTGGTTATTGTTGGCTATTAGCCTATACACTTGTCATTAAATTTATTTTCTTATCCTAAGGAAAAAAAAAAAAAAAGAAAGAGTGATTTCCAGACACTCATCCCATCACTTCTGGGCCTTCTGGCTAAGATCAAGTGCAGACACTCATCCTTTCAGTGATGCAGACTCATCTTCAGTTGACTCGAGCAAACGCTGCCACTGCCCTCTCCATGGGGCTCACTGTTGACAGTCTTTCCCCTCGACCAGGAGGCTCTCGGCGAATTGTTGGCTCCTTGAACTTGAAGAGCCCAGAGACTGCTGCAAGGGTGGGGCTACAAACACCAAGGACCCATCACCTTGCTTCCCATAGCCACTCGCAGACCAAAACGTAAGGTACTGCTGGAAAAAGAGCAGCACCAGACCGTTTTCTACATAACGGACTCCAGCTCCAGCAGTGAGACAAGAGGCTCACGACAAAGACATTTGTACCAGGTGACTCGACCACTGGGACACCAAGTTCTGATACTTCCATCAGCTGCTCTGAGGGAACTGAAGTATGGAAGAAGGCTTTGCGCCCTCCCCTCCTCCTGCTCTTCAATGCCAGCCTCAGTCCTTTTTGACTATTTAATATGGTGTGGAGAGTATCAGCGTGCTGATGCTCCACCATCTCAACAGAGCTCCCAGGAAGGGAAAAGGCTGAAATTAAAAACAAAACGAACTCCATTAAAGACTTCAGCAGGGAGTTGATTATGGTGCAGAAACACATCTTCCTTTTGTGACACATTGGAAATATAAACCTTAGTGCTTTTTCGCCTCCACTGCGTAGAGGTCTGATCGCTTCTGGCTAAAAATGGGGATTTGCTGGCGTATTTCAGCCACCTTCTTCAGGTCTGCAACAACAGGAAAGTGCACTATTAATAAGAAGTAAGTCCTCACTAATCAAGGGGATTTCTTCCCGCAAACAGCATAAAAACAATCAGAGTGTGAGCAAGTAACTCAGCAACACAGGCCCTGTATGAAGGCACAGATGGCCAGGCACTGCCCCTGGAGCATCTCAAGCCAAACCGAGAAAACTCGAGCTGAGCTACGGCCCCCCAAACTTGGCTAGAGAACCAAGGATAAACGAGGAGGGGGCATACATGAGCCCTTCCAGGTGACAGTGGCTTCACAGCCATGGAGTCTGGGCTCAAAGCAACGGGGACACCCAAGATCTGAACCACTGACCAAATCTCACCTATGTCAGCGTACACGATCGCCTCCTCAGTGCCGGCTCTGGCGAGGACCTCCCCCCTGAAAAAGAGGCAGGAGCGAGTGAGCAGACTCACTGATGTCTGCTGATATTCAAGATTGCTGTTTTTCCTCCCCATCCCACAGGCCAAGGGGGAAGGAATCTGAGATTTAACAAGAAGGTAGGGGGATAAATTCCTGTTCTACCATTCAAATAGCTGTGTGGCCTCATGGCAAGTCACTTGGAGTCCCCATTTCCTAATCTGTAAAGTGGAAATAAGAGCTCTGTGAGGACTCAGTGAGACAGTTATGGAGTATGTTTTGTAAACTGCTAACTGTTAGGAAATGGTAATTATTCCATGATATGAACATTCGGGAATGGGGCCACCTGTGACCAAGAGGAGGCTGCATCCTGCCCCCTCATGAGTGCACGCTAGCAAGACCCCTTTACAAGGGCAGTCTGCCTCTGCTTCTTAATGCCTCCCACGCTGCTACCCCACCCCGGGGACGGTGAGGCTGGGCCTGGGCAGGACCCGGATCTGCGGGGATCTCTGGATCCCTGTGCTAATGGGTTTCAGTTTTTGAAGAAAAGGTTTCAACCTGTGGGCCTGGGTAGAAGTGGTGGGAACCACACGCTGGCAGGAGCCCCATACTCAGAAACAGCAACACTCCTTCACAAATCTGGGGAAAGGCTGATCTCGACAGCCATTTCCAGTGCTGAGTCTCTTGGCCCAAAGAGGGCTCCAAAAACCTATCTAGTGAAATGAAATTTCTCCAAAGCACAAAACGAAGTAAGCACAAAACGAAGTAATCTGACATAACAAACAATAGACATAACAACTGATTCTGTTGACCAGATGACCACAAATAGATTTTTGGCACAAATGAGTTACAAACACTATCATTAACGCCATTTAACTGAATCCTTTTCTATTTCTTCCCCATTTGTCCTGGCATCCAAAGATCTCTATGTTAACCCCATGAACCCATCCCCGACACTGATCTGAGCCAGAGGACCCCCAAACCCTACAGACAGAATTCTGGAAAGGAAGAAATAAAGGTACTTCATGTCAGAAGCAGCCTGCTTGATCGGTAGCGGGTTCATCAGGATAACTAGTGGGGAGCAGAGCTACCCAAAGCGCCAGGAAGTCTGTCACCGCCATCTGTGCAGAGCAACTTGAACCAAATTTGAGAAAATTTTCAAGCCAACTTAATCTTTCCAGGCTTCCAACGCCCCCAAAAATCCTAATACACAGGGGGCTAACTGGGAATCACTCACTGGTCATATCTGCCTTCCCCCATCACACACTTTAAGCTTTGGGTCCTATAAAGTTAGAAGAGAGAACCTTTAGGGACCCCACAGTAATATTGAACCCTCTCAGCCCTGTTAGTGGTATATTTATCCTGAAACTGTAGAAATACATATCAGTGCGTGTGTGTGTGTGTGTGTGTCTGTGTGTCTGTGTCTGTGTGTCTGTGTAATCATACAGATGTATGAGAAGTGGCATGGAATAAATCCAAGGTCTGAAGTCAAAAGTCCCAGATCCAAACTAAACACTAGTTCTAGCCACTTCATCCTGTGAACATCAATTCTACCATCTATAAATTGGGCTTAATAAAGAGAGAGTTCGGGCCGGCCCCATGGCTTAGTGGTTAAGTGAGTGTGCTCCGCTGCTGGCGGCCCGGGTTCGGATCCCGGGCGTGCACCGACGCACTGCTTCTCTGGCCATGCTGAGGCCGAGTCCCACATACAGCAACTAGAAGGATGTGCAGCTATGACATACAACTATCTACTGGGGCTTTGGGGGAAAAAAATAAATACATAAATAAATAATTAAAAAATTATAATAAAAAAAAAAAAATAGAGAGTTCAAGCTGAGATGCTGTGAGTGACGACGCTATGTGGACGGCACAGACGCAGACCATGAGACATGTGTATCAGCGTATGATGCCTGTGGATGTGGGCAGACTTCCGTGCTGGATTCACTGAGTGATAAAATGCATCACCCTCTCACCAAGGATAAGTCCACAGTTTCTCTTAATTGAGTCCATCCTCTCCCCTCCTCTAATCGTTATGCAGGGAGCAAAATCCTCACCCTATAACTCACTCCTGCCCTGGGACCAGTCACCCAATCTAAATTTTAACCAAAAGCCAAGAGTTTGGAGCCTCTTTTACTAAAACCACCCATCACTGCTGCCTTGTCTCCCTACATGACCTGAGTCTGACTAACGACAGCCACTCAGAAACTCAGAAGAGGGTGAAGGCCACGCACTCAGTCAGGAGAGCAGGACCAGTTCTTTCTCACGTGGTTTTCAAGTGGAAGCTTCTCTCACAGAGAAGCAGACCTGGCAGGTACAGGGGGGATGTGCGGAGGGAGGGCAGGGCCGGTCAGGATCAGAGCCCCACCTAGGGTCCTCTCTCTCGAGCTCCTAGTGAGCCTGTCCCTGCTCAGCCAACTCACCAAGGAGTCACAACGGTACTGTGTCCCCAGGCGACATAGGAGGCTTTGTCATCCCGGGCAGGAGATGCTGTGGCCACATACACCTGATTATCAACAGCCCTGTAGTCAACGGATAGAGAAAAGGGAAATCATACATTATAGATCTGCAATCGTTTAGTATCCTAAGTGCACAGATCCTTCTTTTAAAACTAGGACAGGATAGGCTGGCTCAGATGTGCAAGGAAACACCCAAAGCCATGGAACCCTCTCTTCAAACAATATCTTATTGCAGAGGCCAGTTCTGAGCTGGGGCAATTTTGCCCAGCAAGGGGCATGCGCCAGTGTCTGGAGACCTTTTTGACTGTGACAACTAGGGGGTTGCTATTGACATCTAGTGGGGAGAGGCCAGGGACGTGGCTAAACATCCTACAATGCACAGGACAGCCCCTACAACAAAGACTTATCTAGTCCAAAATGTCCATACTGCCATAGTTGAAAGACCCTGGGCTGAGCCAACCTGTAACATGCACTCCATATCAGGATGGCTGGTACTCCCACCAAACGGGAAATCTTTCCACAGAGAAACACTGAGATGCTTGAAGGCACTCTTGAGATGCTCTTACCGGCCTCGCTGAAGCAGCTCCCAGTGGGCTGGTCCAGTGGTCAAATTAAAAGCTCCAGGATACACCAACAGCTGGCAGCCTTGGGGAGAGAAAGGCCAAAGAACAGTGGGTGCAAGTGGGCACCCCCATACTAATCCCTCCCTGCATTCCTTTCCCAAGGGGACCAAACCCAAACTTTCCCAAGCACACAGAGATGTCAGCCAAGTCAGACAGGGTCAGCAGCATTATGGCTCTGAATTCCTTTAGAGACTCACAAGAAAAGTCACATTGATAACCGAAACCACAACATGGGACTTCACCTAAACAAAGTGGAGAACTGTCACTCAAATTTCTCTCAGCACCCTGTGGTCAGCTCCACGTGGCCAAGGACCATGTTTTGTGATTCTTCTCAACTGAAATGAGGGGCAGAGCAGGTGCTCTGATGCTTACAGATAAGACTCAACAGACTGTGCCAACTGAACCCATGTACCTCCACCTTGTGCCGAGCAGACCAACTGTCTACAGCCACTTCATTCTCTTAAGTGACAGCTGAACTGGAATCTGAGTGGCTTCAGCAGCTAGTAGGGATGCTAATCTTTGTTGAGCACCAAACGAGGAGCTTTATAAATTCTCTCTCCTTAATCCTCACACCATTCCTGTGAGAAAACTAAGATCCACACTGCTCTAGAGATTAAACAATTTACCCAAAGGACTGTGCCAACGAAGGGGAAGAGTTGGAACCAGAACCCAGGCCTGACTTGGCTTGGTGCTCTTCCAGGATGGTAGGCCACTTCTTCTCCGGTGACCTAAATGTCACCGACTATATTTGTACTGCACCCAACACCTAGGACTACAGAGTGGAGAAATCCATGAGAGTGTAGACCACGTCTTCATTTCCACCGGGCTCCAAGTGACTCTTTCCAACCAGGGTAGCAAGGAGGGCTTGAAGGATAGAGCAGATGCTTAGGAGCATGGCTCCTGCCTTACTTGCATGGGTGTTAAATTACAACCTCTGAGAAACCACACTGTCCATATGCAGCAAATGTCTGAGAAGCCAGATGGGGTGGAGAGATTAAGACCTCTCCAGTTTTTCTGACTAAAGGCTCCCTCCACCCACACAGACCAGCCTAGAATCAAACCTCCAAGCAGCTACACAGCACAACCACAGCGCTGCCTTACCTCTCTGTGCGTAGACTTGCGCAAGCTCTGCAAAGCGGATGTCGTAGCAGATGCCCAGGCCCACTCTGCAGTAAGCTGTTTTCCAAACAGAAAATGCACACAGGACAAGTTCACCTCCTGCAGCATGGTGTGGGAAAGGCTCCAGGACCTAACGCTCAAAAACACTAACAGGGATACATCAACGCAGGGCCCATGGATGCTGAAAATGTGCAAGCTCATTTCTGCTTGGATTTCACCTCATAAAGACTTCATTTATGTCAGCAGAGACAAATTCACTCTAACTGAATGCTCATTATCTAAGTGAGAGATGTTCAGTCCCGGCCTTGGGTACGCTCTGGAAGCTGGCATGCTAATGACGGCTGTGACCAATGGCGAGCAAGGTCACGTCCCACCCCTAGTTCTCCATTCAGCCGCCCTTTCTAGATCTCTGACCATCCCCTGCCCTTCTCACTCTGGTCTTTCCAGCAGGTTATGTAAAGAAATTGGGGAGGGACAGAAGAGAAAAACAAAGAAATACCTGATCCTCTTCTATTGGGATTGTCACAAGAGGTGAACTTATCTGGTACGTACGAGTATCAAATGTGGAGAAACTATCGCCAGGACTCAATGTTTTAGATTCTTGAAAGGTAATTTTCCCAGGAACATCAATGTCAAACAGATGGAGCTGCATCACAAATAATGGGTTTGGTTACCTCTTTTCCACCAAGTTCACAGCAGTAATAACAGACACCTTTCCATGGCCAGATACAGGGGTGATCTAAGACCAACTGTACAAACAGCACCCCCAACCCACATACAACACACCCACAAGCTGACTGACGTCTTATCAGAATGAATCCTAACACAGGAAACTGGAGAAATGCTGCTGTGGGCTTTGTGACCCTTTGTTGCCAGGTGGTGTGCAAACCAATGCCTACATTTCTTATGGGAAGCAATTAATGTGCTGCTTTCTTACTCGTTATAAATGCTAAATGAAGACTTCTCAGAATCAGAACAACAGACACATTGGCAGGAGAGGTGGAGAGTGGGTAAGTGATTAAAAATAGGTAAAATTTTGCAAACCAAATGTAGCAACATGTAAAAAGAATAACACATCACTTCCAAACAGGATTTTTATAATTTTATTTATTTATTTATTTTTTCCCCCAAAGTCCCAGTAGATAGTTGTATGTCATAGTTGCACATCCTTCTAGTTGCTGTATGTGGGACGCGGCCTCAGCATGGCCGGAAAAGCGGTGCGTCGGTGCGCACCTGGGATCCGAACCCGGGCCGCCAGCAGCGGAGCGCACGCACTTAACCGCTAAGCCACGGGGCCGGCCCCAAACAGGATTTATTTAAGGAAAGCAAATGTGGTTTAACGTTAGAAAATCACTCAATGTAATTTACTACACTCACCAAATAAAGGAGAAAAGTCACATGATCATCTTAAGAGGTGCACAATGAGCATTCTTAAAAAACAAAAGAGAAAAACTCTTCTAGGAAGGGAGCTTCCTTAATCTGATAAAGAGTATCTGCAAAAAAACCCTCAAGAAATACCATAATAAACAGTGAAATACCAAAAGCCCTCTTCCCCTGTTGAGATCAGGAACAAGACAAGGACACCTGCTATTCAACACTGTTCCAGAGGTCCCAACCGAAGCAACAAGGTGAAAGAAAGGAACAAAAAGTACAAAGATTAGAAAGAAAAAAAGTAAATCTGTCACTCTTCTCAGACAACATAATTGTGAACCAAGAAACTCCAAAGGAAATCTACAGATTGAGTTATTAGAATTAATGACTGAGTTTAACAAGGTTACTATTAACGAGGTCAATAATTTAAAAATTAGTTGTACTTCTATACACCAGCAAGAAACAGAAAATGAAAGGGCACCAAAACACATCAATTAGTAACAAATCCAGCAAATGATAATCAAGACTATACCCAAAAAACTATAAAAACCATTTGAGAGAAATTAAAGAAAGCCTAAATAAATGGAGGGATATACATCATATTCATGGACTGGAGAACTCAATACTGAAAACATGCACTTCAAAGAGTGGGGTTAACAGGTCAATGCTGGCTCCTCTCCCAGTAACGGCAGAGGGTCTCCTATCAGACCACCTTTCTCCCAGATACCTACAAACCCCAGACAAAATAAAAAGCATTGGAGAATTATCAAAATCAGGCAAGAACTGTAGGGAAGTCAACACTTGGAAGAAGGGGCTAGCACTGGGTGAGTTTCCCATTTGTTTACAGCTTTTAGCTGGAAGCAAGGCCCCAGTTGTTGCTAGAAGTGGTGGTGAAAACCACCCATGATCACACTGGCTTTAAGAACCAGAGGACAGAGTTTCCAGCAGCTGGAAAGTGAGAAGGAAATCCTGAAAAGGAGAAAGCCAAAGAGGAAAAGCACTAAATTCTACATATAAAATCTGGCCAAATCTCTGGCTAACCACTGAATTAAAGATGTGTGGGGCAGACTCCAAGCCGTTCAGCTAATGCTAAACAACTTCAGATTGAACAGAGCAGCTGAAGCTGCTGCATACCTCACAAAGGAAAAAGAGTTGGTGTTTGAGTATAGCCAAGCCAAATACTTGCTAAACAAAAAAATCCAATACTTTCCAAAGGAGTATAATAGGAGCTAGAATCTCAACAACATATAATCCAGAATTACCAGACACACAAAGAAACAGATAATGTGACCAATCAATGGAGCAGACCCCTACACTACCCAGAAGTGATCATCACCAAAGACTCTAAAGCAGCTACTGGAACGAAGCTCAAGCATATAGAGAAAAATATGCCTTTAATGAATAAACAAAAGGAAATATCAGAAGAGGAATAAAAGCTACAAAAAAGAACCAAATGAAAATTTTAGAATAGAAAAATTTAATATCTAAAATTTTAAAAATTTCACTGGATTGGCTTAGAGGAGATTGGAGACTACAGAAGAAAGACTCAGTGAACTTGAAGACAGATCAACAGAAATTGTCCAATCTGAAGAAGAGACAGAAAAAAGGTTAAAAAAGCAGGAACCCTGCTTTTTAAAATCCCCGGAGCCCTGGTGCCCTGGTTTGGTGGAATGGTGTCAAAACTGGAGTCCCACACAAAGAGAATGGGATGGAAAAATATTTTTAAAATCATGCCCCCAAATTTCCCAAATACAGTGAAAAGACTTAAATTTACAAATTTAAGAAGCACAAAGCAAGACAAATACAAAGAAAACCATATCTAGGTACTACCGAGTCAAAATACTGAGAACTAAACATTATGAAAAAACTTTGAAGGCAGGCAGAGAAAAACACGAATTACACACAGGGGAACAACAGTACAAAGGACCACTAACTTCTTCTTTTTTTTCTTTTGTGAGGGAGATCAGCCCTGAGCTAACATCCATGCTAATGCTCCTCTTTTTGCTGAGGAAGACTGGCTCTGAGCTAACATCTATTGCCAATCCTCCTCTTTTTTCCCCAAAGCCCCAACAGATAGTTGTATGTCATAGTTGCACATCCTTCTAGTTGCTGTATGTGGGACACTGCCTCAGCATGGCTGGAGAAGCGGTGCGTCAGTGCGCGCCCGGGATCCGAACCCAGGCTGCCAGTAGTGGAGCGCACGCACTTAATCACTAAGCCACGGGGCTGGCCCTAGGACCACTAACTTCTTATCAGAAAAAAAAGAAGCCAGAAGATAACAATAACATGTCTCAAACTGCTGGGGGGAAAAAGAAAACTGTCAACCCAGAATTCTATTCCACCAAAAATATCTTTCAAGAATGAAGGCAAGGGCCAGCCCCATGGCTTAGCGGTTAAGTGCGTGCACTCCGCTGCTGACGGCCCAGGTTCGGATCCCGGGCGCGCACTGACGCACCGCTTCTCCAGCCATGCTGAGGCCGCGTCCCACATACAGCAACTAGAAGGATGTGCAGCTATAACATACAACTATATACTGGGGCTTTGGTGGAAAAATAAATACACAAAATTATAAAAAAAAAAAAAAAAAAGAATGAAGGCAAAATAAAGATAGATTCATAAACAAAAACTAACGAATTTATAGCTAGTAAATCCTGACTGCAAAAATGCTAAAGCAGGTCTTTCTGTCTGAAGGTCAAGATACCAGATAGAACTAGGCTCTTCAGGAAAAAAAGAAAAATACCAGAAATGGTAAATATTTGGGCAAACATAAAATTTTTTTCTCTTAATTTATTTAAAATACACATAACTATTTAAATAAAAAATTAGCATTTTGTGGGATTTATAACATATGTAGACACAATATGTATGCAACTATAGCATAAAAAATGGGTAGGAGGTGGGAAATGAACCTATACAATTGCAAGGTTCTTAAATGTCACATGAAGTAATATAACATTAACTCCAAGTAGATTGTGACAAGATAAAAATGCATACTGCAATCCCTAGGACGACAACTCAATAAAGAAGTAAAGAGGTATAATAAAAAGCCAATAGATAAATTAAAATGGAATTCTAAAAAATACTCAACCTAAGAGAATGCAGAAAAGAACAAAGGAAAAAAACAGTAAAATATCTATATGCTTAAATCCAACCATATCAATAATTACATTAAATATAAATGGACTAACCACTCCAGTTAAAAGACAGAGATTGTTAGAATGAATAAAAAGGTAAGACCCAACTATAGGTGGACTACAAGAGAATCATTTTAAATACAGTATAAAGACACATATAGGGTGAAAATAAAAGATTAGAAGATGTACCAAACAAATAATAAGTGTAAGAATAATAAGTGTAAGAAGCCTAGAGTGGCTATAGCAACATCAGAGATAAAATAAACTTCAAGACAAAAGAGTATTAAAAGAAAAAAAGAGACATTTCATAATGATAAAAGGATCAATTTACCAGGAAGACTTAACAATCCTAAATGCATAGACATTTACTACTGCAAAGATGTCAACTCTCCCCAAAGTGACCTCTATGAATTCAATGCAATCCTAATCAAAATTCCTGTAGGTTTTCCCTTTGCTGAAACTGACAGGCTGAATTAAAATTTATATCAAAAGCCAACAGCCAAGAATAGGCACCTGTGTCAACTAGTCAATGCCTGACGTGTGTACAATATGACGAGAGGGACTAGGGGGCTTCATGGCAAATTCTCAACAGGCGATGAGACTTGCCACATTCCCAACTTACCTTTCTGTGCTTTACCAGTAAAACACCATCAGGCCCAAACACGGCACAGGTGTTATATAATTTCCCAGCATCCTCTTCAGGAATGGAACCTTTCATTGAGAGGAGAAACACACAGGCACAGAAAACATTCTGAATAAAGCATTCTTTTATGATAACTGGACAAAGGCTAGAAAAACTGTCACTTGGGTCCAACCATAAAGTTTACCATCTTCTAAGGGTTATTTAACCATAGTTTTTTCCTTCTTGAATACTGTCTTTCAGAGATAAACTCCAGAGTGTAGATGAAATATAATTAGGTCAGATGCCACCAAAGACAGGTTTCAAAAATAACCAAACTGTTTCTGAATTCAGCTTTATCTTGAGCAACATTTAATCTGTAACAGTGGAGCAACACAGGGAATTATCTGTTACTCAACTTCAATTCACCAGGTCCTACAACAGAACTATCTCCAAAGGCCTCAAGATGGGAACAGAAGACACATGCCTTCCATCACTGAATGCAGCTCCTGCCATTCTGTCTCCTCTTGCTCTGCCTGCTTTCTTCCACCTCTTCTTCACTTCTAATTCTTACTGTCTCACAACACAGAAATGATCTTGTTTGCTATATTTATTAAACAGAGTTTTACCGTATTGATTTTTTTTTCATGAGGGAGACTAGCCTTGAGCTAACATCTGTTGCCAATCCTCCTCTTTTTGCTGAGGAAGATTGGCCCTGGGCTAACATCCGTGCCCATCTTCCTCTACTTTATATATGGGAGGCCTGCCACAGCATGGCTCGATAAGCAATGCATAGGTCTGCGCCTGGGATCCAAATGCGTGAAACCCCAGGCCGCCGAAGCAGAGATTGCGAACTTAACCACTACACCACCGGGCTGGCCCTTGTATTGATTTTTTTATTTAAGCAAACATAACATTCTAAAATTTATTTCGGGGGCCGGCCTAGTGGCTTAGCAGTTAAGTGTGCGCACTCCGCTACTGGCAGCGTGGGTTTGGATCCTGGGTGCGCAACAACACACCACTTCTCTGGCCATGCTGAGGCCATGTCCCACATATGGCAACTAGAAGGATGTGCAACTGTGACACACAACTATCTACTGGGGCTTTGGGGAAGAAAAAAGGAGGAGGATTGGCAATAGATGTTAGCTCAGAGCCGGTCTTCCTCAGCAAGAAGAGGAGGATTAGCACGGATGTTAGCTCAGGGCTGATCTCCCTCACAAAAAAAAAAAATTTATTTCAAAACCACATAAATAAAGCTACCTTGATGTATGTGGCCTCTTTACAAAGAAAAATTTCTTAACCCTGTTTAGTATGACAGACATTCAGATATGGTTTTTCTTTCACATTTCCACCTGCCCCTGTACTGCCACTCCTTCTCCAGGGAAAACCATATTATCAGTTGGTGTGCGCCCTTCTACAATGTTCACTATGTCTTACATACATAACCACATATAAAAATATAAACCGTCTTTTGTGTGGGGAATTAATCTGAATGAGAGTACCTGTTCACAACATATTGAACTTGCTCTTTTTCCACTTAACAGTGTGTTCTGAAGATCTTTCCACATTACTGCATATAGATCTACCTCATTGTTTTCCACAGTTTAAATGTAACAACAAAAGTTATTTGGATGTTTTTCATGTTGAGGCCACTATTATACCAAGGGTAGGACATTACCTCCAATGAGATATATGCCGCACTCCTTTGCTACTTCAGAAAGCTTCTGTGTGGATTCACCAGGAATTTTCTCTGCATACTCAGGAAAATAGTTCGTGCCATATGGAGAATTAAAGCATTCCTAGAATAATGTTGGCAGAGAAAAAGGGAAAAAAACACTAAAACACTCAACCTGTTTTAAAGTTCTGCTGTAAGAAAAGAGAGCTGCTTCTGCCAGCTCTGTTTTCAAAGGGGCAAAACACAGCTGATATGGAAAACACTGACATCCCCCGGCTAAAGAGGCTGTGGGCACAGGCAGGACTCAGCAGCTGGCTCAGGGGGGCTCGAGGACACAGGTCACGTGTGCTCTCCTGATCCTGGCCACGGCAGCAGAGGCGGGACCTGCCTCTCCCTTGAGTCTGTGAAGAACTGCAAGTTCCCACCCTCAGGCACCCAGGCCCCACGACAACTGGGCTTACTCGCAGGCCTTTGGGGTTAGGATGCATCCATAAGCTCAAAAGTATATTATTAACTCTGTAAAGCAATAAAGCCTGTGTTTGAAAAACTACAGAAGCTTTAAAAGCCACAGAGCTTAAGGTGTTTCTAAAGCTCCCTTCCAGCACTATCATTCTGATCCTAAGAAATCTCTCATTCCCTGATATGCCTGTCTCCTCTATCCTCTGTGATAAAAGAAAAGCAAAAACTAGTAGACTTCAACTCTTATTCATTCATTTCCCAAGTACTGAGATTGCCTGTGCACCAGGCACTGAGCTAGCAACCTCAAGCCCGGCGATCAGCAGCTTGTACAAGTCACATGTCACATGGAGGGCACGCAGCATTCATGTGCTCTCACTCCTGGCTTTTGGACTCTGACCCCCAGCAACTTACACCAACAAGGGACCATGATCAGGGTCCAAGTACAGGTGAGTCCCATGACTGGAGCCACGAGGAAGCCTGGATTAACATTAAGACCTCAGCTCCCCCGTTAAAGATCCCCACTCACTGGCCACATCTGTGATGGCCTAGAGCCTCAAGTTCAAGGTGGCCCTGAACATCCTCCAGTCATTCTCAGCAGGGTTTGCAAAGGGCTGCCTCCTCCCCATGGTGGGCTGTGTGGAATCCAGCACTGACCCAGCGGCCTCTGCCAGGAGAAGATGCCAGAAGATGCATGTCCTGACCCGAGCAGGGCCCTCCTCTGGGCCAACTGTCCCTGCTGACTAACAAACGTGGTGCAGCCTTCAGCTGGTTCTGTTCTAAAGGAAACCACCTAGGAAAGAGACACAGAGTCTGACTGGCTTACCACAGGTACCACTTTTAGGAGGCTATCACAGGCTTCCTAAACGTCTCTAACGATTTTCCGTTTTCAACAACTCTTTGAAAATGTTGGAGGCTTAGCGCTAAAATCAGTATGTCTTGGTCCTGTAAAGATTTAATTCTACAAGGAAGGAAGGTAAGTAGCCGAGACACTGAGGATTTCAGCTTCAGGGAAGTCTCTCAACCTATGAGGACTCTAAACAGAGTAGCTGATCCTGAAGTTAAGGACCTGGAACCACACTGGCACGTCCTGTCACAGAGACCCTGGGTGGGATCACCTTCTAGACAAACGTGGAACAGTCTTGGGGCCCCAAAGGACCTTGCTGGACCCGGACACAAGAGAACAACCAGAGCTAGCAGACACTATTCTGCTGGGTCAACGGTTCCCAGAAAGGCGTGGCTGCCTTCATACTTACTGGCAGAGAAACTATTTTGGCTCCTTGCCTTGCTGCCTCCTGGACAAGGCCACAAGCTCGAGTGAGGTTATCTGATTTGACAGAAGAAACTTGAAGTTGGATGAGGGCCAAGCGGAAGGCTGAGGACGAAGATAAAAGAAAACAGTTATCAACAGATCTGAATCAGACGGAGCAGCAGTTCTCAACCACAGGGCGATTCTGCCCCCCAGGACATCTGGCAATGTCTGGAAACTTTTTTTTTTTTTTTTTTTTGCTGAGGAAGAGTCACTGCAAGCTAACATCCACTGCCAATCTTCCTCTTTTTGTATGTGAGCAGCCACAGTAGCATGGCCACTGATAGACAAGTGGTGTAGGTCACCGCCTGGGAACTGAATCCGGGCCACCAAAGCAGAGCGTGTCGAACTTAACCACTAGGCCACCGGGGCTGGCCCTGGAGACTTTTTTTTTTTTTTTGATGAGGAAGATTGGCCCTGAGCTAACATCTGTTGCCAATCTTCCTCTTTTTGCTTGAGGAAGATTGTCGCTGAGCTAACATCCAAGCCAATCTTCCCCTATTTTATATGTGGGATACCGCCACCGCTCAGGTGAGCGGTGTGCAGGTCCGTGCCCGGGATCTGAACCCATGAACCCTGGGCTGCCGAAGCAGAGAGTGCAAACTTAATCACCATGCCACTGGGTCGGCCCCCCTGGAGATATTTTTGATTGTCACAACTGGTGGGGTGCTACTGGCATCTAGTGGGTAGAGGCAGGGATGCTACTAAACATGCCACAATGCACAGGACAGCCCCTCACAACAAAGAATTATCTGGTCCAAAATGTCCATAATGCTGAGGTTGAGAAACCCTGAGAGAGAGCAACACCCATGGGCAAAGCCCCACTTTGGGCACAAGAATCTGAAGTGAGGTAGGCAGCACCAGCTTCTTACTTACAAATGAGAAGACTGCTTGACAGAAGAAGGCTGAGTTTGAACACAGAGCTATCCCTTTCTGTCTGATCTTGGGCCTCCAGCCCACCCCCATGCAGGCACTGAGCACCCCAGCACAGAAGATAAAATCCCTTGCAAGTCAGTTGCCCAGGGTGAACTGGGGCAGCGGGCCCATGGGAACTGCCCCATCACCAGCTGGAACACAGTGCATCGGTCCAGCTGCCAGCGGGAGGGGGAGCCTGGCAAGCCCGTGGGCTGCACATGGGCCTAGTCACAGGGCAGGGCCCCTGGGCACCGTGAGGGTCTGCACTCACCCCATGAACATCCCTGTGCCCAAAGGAGCACAACATTAAGTAGCAAATCAAAAACACCGTGAAAGGCTGAGAGACACTGCAGAAGGAAAAAGCAACAGTGCTTTTTCCTGCTATCTGAACACCGGCTTCCGCGTTTTCACTGGGGACTGGGTCCCCCAAATGAAGTAGCCAGCCCTGCCAACAGGATCTGTTGTCAGGGGCCAGCCCAGCAGTGAAGTGATTAAGTTTGGGCGCTCCGCTTCGGTGGCCCGGGGGTTTGTGGGTTCGGATCCCGGGTGTGTACCTACATGCCACTCATCACATCACGCTGTGGTGGCGTCCCACATACAAAATAGAGGAAGATGGGCACAGATGTTTGCGCAGGGCTAATCTTCCCCCCAAAAAGAAAAAAAAAAGATCTTTTGTCAGCCTTGGGGCAAGCAAGGAGGTCAGGGCTCTGCCAGGCTTCTTCCTTCCTAAAGGTAGTAGCCACACTCTACATTTGCTTTTCCTGTATTCTTCAGAGTTCTCTTTCAGCTCTTAGTCACCTTTTACTGGTTGGTAATTCTTCATATAAAATTGTCCCTGTTCAAGTGACTGGTGTGGCTTCTGAGTCCTGCCTGGCCCCTGATGGATACATGGTTTTGCTCACGGTCTGAGAGGAACCTGCATTAGCGGATCCGAAGCCCGCGGTAACCGACCTTCAACCTCAGGAGCTACCCGTCACGCCTGCCCAGCTCCCCCACGCCCCGCTGCCCTAGTCTGGAGCCCCACCGCTAGAGGGCTCCCCCACCCCTCGCCTGCGGCCCCACCGCTGGAGGGCTCCCCCACCCCTCGCCTGCGGCCCCAACGCTAGAGGGCTCCCCCAGACCCGGGCCTCTGACGAAGGCCTGCTCGGCTGAGGGTTAACCCTAAAGGTAGGAAACCTCAGACGTCCCATTCCTTGGTTTATCCTAAATAGAGCGAGAAGAGCTCCATTTAACCCTGAACGCAGCCTTTTAAATAGTTCCAGAATCTAGATGAAAACAAAGGAACCAAAAGCGGAAACGAAAGCTGGGGTCACGCTGGGCAGACGGACGCCTGTCACCAGAACCTCACGAAGACCCACCGCGACGAAGCCGGGCTCTGCGTGCCCCTGAGGAGGGAGGGATGAAGTCGCCAGGCTCTGCTGACGGCCTCCCGCAGGCAGCCGTCCTGACACGGCCTCGGCAGCCCGCCCGGCGTTTCCCTCAGGCCGGAGGGCCGTCGCCGGGGAGCAGGCTAACCGCCCGCAGCCGACGCAGGCGCACGTCCCGGGCAGGGCTCAAGCCGCCCAGAACCACGGCGGCCGCCTCCGCACAGCCCAAGTTCAAAGGTCAATCCGAGGAGAGGAGAGCGAGCACCCCGCCCGCGGGCGAGTCCGCTCCTCACGCAAAGCGAACAGTGCCCGCGGCCCCGGCGGGGCCCCCGCGCCGCGTCACTGACTGACCGACACAAGGCCTCCCTCCAGGGACAGAGTCGGCGCGCGAGGGGGCTGGAGCCTGCACCGTAAAGGCGCCGCGTCCCTCCGCCCGCGCGGGGGCCGCCGCGGGAGCCCCGGACTCACCACACCGCCTCGCCGGGCACAGGCGGCCCGCGCTCAGCGGCCTCCCCCGCCCGCGGACACTGCGGACACCGGGGACACCGCGCCAGAGAAGGCAGGCCACGCACGCGGCGGGGACACGGCGCAGAGGCGAGCTCAGCCGGCAAGACCCCCGCCCGCACCGCCCCCGCTGCCTCCCCTCCTACGCCAGCTCGACCGCCGCGCCACTTACTGGCCATGGCTCTCCCGGCAAGCGCCATGCGCCGAGCTCAGG